TCTAATCTGTTATTAAAGAGTTTTTCCAGAATTTTTGAAAATTGTGACAGCAGAGAAACCGGTCTATAATTTGTGAAGTTGTGCTTATCACCAGATTTATACAGTGGAATCACCTTTGCTATTTTCATATTATTGGGGAACTGCCCAAGTCGAAATGACATGTTAAAAATATGGGTTAATGGTTTGCATATCCCCTCAATCACCCATTTAACAGTTGTCATAGTTATACCATCACTATCACTAGATGTTTTGTTACCACATTTATTCACTATCTCTATAATTTCCTTTTCAACTATGGGCTTCAAAAACATAGAACCTCCTTCCTTTCGATTGTATTATTATTTATAGTGACGGATGTATCATCTGTACAGATACTTTTTGCTAAACCAGGACCAACATTCACAAAGAACCTATTAAACTTATCTACTACATCCTCCAATCTATTAACCGGTGTATCATTATCCATAAAATATTGAGGGTAGTTACTCTTGCTGGAACTGTTTCTAATCAGTTTATTTAATATATTCCAAGTACCTCTCATGTTATTTTTATTATCCTCTAATACTTTAGAGTAATATTGTTTCTTACATCTCCTCAAAATCTCAATTAATTTGTTCTTATATGACTTATATTTTTCTTCCGCCTTCTTTGATCTGTCCTTTATGAATTCCTTATATAACGCATTCTTCTTTTTACATGCATTTTGTAATCCCTTACTCATCCACGGTTTCCCACTGTAATTCCTCTTGTTTTTATATTGCTTACGAGGACAGTTCCTGTCATATACTTTCTTAAATATATTTAAAAATTGCTCATATGCTTTATCTAAGTCTTCCTCTCTGTAAACTGATTCCCAGTTTTGCCCCATAAAATCCTCTTTTAGCCTCCTTACAGCATGTTCATCCGTCACCCTCCTATAGAAAAGATTTGTTTTTGGCCTCTCTTTTCTATACTGGCCCTCATAAACCACAAATACTGGTAGATGATCACTTATATCATTTATAAGTAATCCACTTGTCATTTTGCTGTCAATAACATTGGTAAATATATTATCTACAGTATTAGTGTTGCATGCTGGGTTGTTACTCTACTTGGTTTTGTATTTATTGGGTATACACTGCATCTATATATTGTGTTAATAAACTCCTCAGTTCCTGTGTGCTTGTTAGGATTTAACAAATCTATATTGAAGTCACCACATATGAACATTAATTTATGACTTATTGTCAAGTAATTTTCTTCCATCCAGTCATTAAATTTTTCTATGCTGGCTCCAGGTGCTCTATAAATACAGCTTATTACAACATTTTTCTTTTTTTTCACGAGTATTTCTACAGTCACACACTCCAGCAAATTATCAACTACCCTAGACATTTTGTCTACTTTCTTATAACAAAAGTTTTTATCTATGTACAAGGCCACACCACCTCCCATCTTATTCTCTCTGTTTGTGCATACCAAGTCATAGCCATCAAGGTCAAAATCCATTCCCCTTACATTATTAATCCATGTTTCAGAAATAGCAATTATATTAAAAGAATGTGTAAGACTACTAAGATAATGTTTTATACTCTGAAAGTTTGCGTATAAACTTCTGCTATTGAAGTGAATTAATGATAATTTGTTTTCAGTCTTGACATTGCTGTTCATTATACCAATGAATGCCCGCACACAGATAGCTATACAAATATGTATGAGGGAGGACTGCATTCCTTCCACTTATCACACACACACATCCTTGTTTTTGTCACTTACTTGGTCCCTACATAGACTTACATTCATTTCCAGGAAACTTACCCTAACCTTAACCAGAACTTCTACTTGCCTAACCTTAACCCTTACCCTAACCTTAGCCAAAGCCTACACTTGCTCTAACCTTACACCGCATTGTTTTCATAAAATTTGACAAACTACGTTGTGGGGACCAGAGATAGTAACTCATGGATTTTGAGCTGCACAAGTATTGAAAAACAAGGCATCACACACTCCCGGTCTAAGAGACAGCATCTCTCTCTTGTAAATTAATTACTTCCAACTGTCCCTGGAG